CAGGGACCTCACACACTTATGGCCACCAGCAGAAGCACCCACAGAGAGTGATAAGTGTTATAGTGCAGCATAATCCACTCTTCAACCTCAATGAGGAAGATGGGATCATACTGCCTTCCATTCTCAGATAATAACCATTTCATGGAGGCAGTTACAAGACCTATTTATAGGGATGATTTTAGCTGCCATCTTTATCCTTAACAGGGAGGGACTGGTGCTTTGGACAGGTGGCAATTTTATGCTACTCACCCACCTCCATATCTTTTTATCTGAATGTGCACTATGTGGTTATGTTTCCATTTGGATGACTTTCATGCTCTTTAGATGGCAAATGTTTTATGAAAAATTATAAAGAAGAAGAGGAGGTTCATGTAGAAACTGAACTGAAACCAGGTTGGGATCCTCTGATGAATGACCCACCTAGGCCTTGTTTGCCTGTGCCTGGAAATTTGGGAGAGGTTTATGATGAGCTGTTTGTGTAACCAAGCTATGCAAACTAGTAAAAACAAGTCATGTGAGAGAGAGAGGGAACATTGACTGCTTTGACAACTGCTTTGCCATTGCTAAGGAAACTGCTCCCTTGGTAACCATGGTCAGTACATCTGTCTTATTTTATCTCCAGTTCTCACGTAGACACCATCATGGAAAGAATATTAACACAACCAAAACACAAACATTTCAGAAAAGCACAAGGCTTCTATTAATTTCTTCACTAAAAAGTTTAAGGGAGATTCTGCTTTGGTGTTGATCATGGCTTTGCCTTGCCTGAGATGTGCTCCTTAAATATTAACTTATGCAAAGTAACAATTTATTCTTTTGTTCTGCTTTGTACTCCTTCAAAATGCGATGCTTATTTTCTTTTAGCTCTCCTAATTTACCTAATGCAATTGGGCTTTACAATAGGGAAGCCTGAAGGCTGAGAAAGCTTTTGCATCTGTCAAAATAAGAGTTTATGTTCTTTTGCTAAGGAAAAAACTCTTACTGACTTGATCAGAGTCCAACAAATGGAAGTCCTAATCTGAAGAACAACAAACTTTTAAGATGTCACTGAACCTTTTGAGTTAGAACCACATGATCTCAGGAAGATCTTTCTTGACACTCCTGCTTAAATCCATTAACAAGGAAGAAAATCAGAAATGTGCACAGGAAAATCTAAGAAAAAATCCTGGATGCACTTTTTGTCACTTTTTAGTGAAATCAGAATATTTGTCGGTACCTATCCATAAACCAGATTTGAAATGATGGTGGAAGCATAGCTTTACACAAAAGAATAATTTTTATGTCCACAAAAATCCCAAATCTATTGAAGCAAAACAAATAATCCCAGTACAAAGGATGCAAAGATTCCCATAGGCTTTCTGTCCACAGCATCAGGCACAAATGAACATCCTTTGGGCCATGTTCTGCTTCAATTCTAAAATATCCTATGCTGAGATATTAGAAGCACTAGAAGTAGTTAGGTTTCTCAGTAACTTTATAAGAGCAGCATTTTCCTCCTCTTCCTGAAGGAGGGAAAAAACTTGGATGAAAGAGGATATAAGAACCTATAAGTAAATTTGAAAGTATCTGTTCTCAAGGTGGACATGGTGACTGCATGGAACAGGAATTTCATGTCATACCATCACATAAAAATGCATTTCTCCAAAAATGACAAGTCTGATACCTTAATTTCCAGGACTGTGGTTTGTGGATTTACTGAGAGTACATGTAGAACAGCAGCAAATTCCTCTTTGGTAAGAAAAACGACCATCCCAACTGAAACCAAGCACTTCTCCAGCCCTGTGCCCCTCTCCAAAGCAGCCAGCAGGGAAATCACAGTGGTACCTCTCCATATCCTCTGCCAGTGTCCCAGTAAAAGAAAAAGGAAGGGATGTTTTCAACACACTACATCAGGGAATACTCAGGGACTTCAGCAACTGACTGGTAGAAGATTTTGGACTGATGAACTGATGTTGAGAACAGTGTAGAGGTAGAAAACCATGACCACATGGGGATGGGATCATGCTGGCACCCCACTGTGCATGTTGCATCATTTGTGGTGTGACATTTCTGAAGGGAAAGTTACTCTCAGCTTCTTTCTTTTGACTTATTCATTGATAATAATATGATCTAGGAGTTACTTAGCTTTGGCTGACACAGCTCAGCATCCATTCCTATAGCATGGATGTTACAGTATCATCAACAGCAACTCTAAATTTCACATCACCTGTGTATGTGTGATGCATCCTGCCTTCATATCTGTTCTTTCAGCAAAGGCAATGCAGTGACAACAATTGTTCTGGTAGCTGAATGCCCACTGCAGAAGCTTTTGGACACTGGCAACACAAACATCCTTTTACTACTCTGGCATGCAGCTTGACTTCTCATTTTTACTGGAAGTTTTTGCAGTTGCTTTATTTACCCAATCCCATTTACTGCAAACAACACAGCAATTGGCACTCATGAAATGTCTGGTTTAACTGTATCCAGAAGCCAGAACCAGTTGCACCACCACCACTGGTGCAAGGGAGTTGCCATGAGTCATTTCTTCTAATTCTTTCCCTCTCACGTCTCCAGCTCCAGTGGCACACCCATGAGATCTGTGCTTCACTTCCCCTGTATGCAAAGGGAGAGCAGCAGCACCTCATCCTCCCCAGGAGCAGAGTGGGGCTACAGGGATTATTATGCCTCTGGATATTGTCAGGGAGCAGTGAGGTCTGCCCTTTCCCTAGGGGAGAAACTCCCACAGGAACATCATGCCCCACTGCCATGGTGGGGTGGGGTCCCCCCATGAGTCCCAGCTCCTTTCTCCAGTACCTGAGTGAGAGGAGCAGGCAGTCCTGCAGATGGGGGCCAGGTCATAAGGCAGCATCACAGGGAGGTCAGGCTGGAAGTCAGTGGGTGGCCAGGATGAGTCTGTCCATCCCCTAGCTGAAGACCAGCATCTCCCAGCACAGCTCACAAAAAGGAGCAGACTTCCCTAGGTGAGCTTAAATGGGCTCTCAGGTCTGCTGGAGGGGGTGGAGGCACCAGGTGAGGCTGGTCAGCATTGATAAGACTTACCTTCAGGGCCCTGAAAAATATCACAATAACAAGAGTCAGCTAAATAAAGATATTTCCCAAGCTACTGAAACATTGACACTTTCCCCAGCTAAAATGCTAAGGAAACTCTGCTAAAAATTTTCTTTTCATAACTACTCAAGAAAGCAGGGCTAAGCATGACAATTAGGAAAATAGGTTTTTCCTTTTATTAAAAAATAATCAGCCAACTATGTTACTGTGTAAAATTGAAATGCAATTACCCCTGACAGATATGAAGATCAGCAAACACAAATACATGTAAGCGTTTGCAGAAGACTACTTTGGGAAGCTTGTTCTAGCCTGTCTCCAGGTTTGCATGTGAAGTCCTTTGAGTTTGGATGCAGGCAGTGGAAAACAGAGCAGCACAACACTTAGTTTAGCAGCACATGTTCTGAAGTGTACTAAGTACTGCCTGTGCACGCTGCTGGAGCTCCTCACCAGTCACTTGCTGTGGGATAGCTCTGGGATTAGGCAGGCAAGGGCTGACATGTGAAATCTGTGCCACTTACTTAACTGCTCTGTCACAATGAATTGGGCTGCTCTGCCTGCACTAGCCTGGAGAAACAAGTGGCGGGCCCTTGGCTGGCATATGCTGACAGAGTGGGGAGCGAGGCTGTCCCTCTGTGTGGCAGGGTGACAAAGCCTCCAGGGGAAGCACAGGGTCTCTTCTTGCTCTGGTCTCTTCGTGTCAGCCCAGGACCTTCTCAAACTGGTCTCTGAAGGCTGATGCTCCCACTCAGTCCGGAGCGTGGGAGCCCTTGGGTAGCACAGTGCCAAGGCTGCTTTGAAACCAGCTGGTCTGGTTCTGAGGGGGCCTGAATGATGCCTGAGATGACAGGCTGGCTGGACAAGGGCTCGCCAGAAAGTAGGGCAGCAAAACTTTCTAATTAAGATAAAAATACCTTTGTAGTCTTTGTAGTGAGGGAGAGCCGCGGCACTCAATCTAAATGTCTCTGTCCAAAGAATGAGCAAGAAAGAGCTTTCTTAGATCCTTTACCTTTGCTTTAAAGAGACAAGAGATCATCTGACAGCAGGTTTGTTAGGCTCACCTTCCAATAACGAGGCTGTTGTAGGAGCTGCCAGCTCTCTCACAGCTGAGCCTGCACAGCCCTGCAGCCAGAGCTTCCACTACCTCCACACAGTCACTGCCCTCTCTCCAGACAAGATGATCCTCGTCTCAAAGAGGAAAACATCAATGAAAAGCAAAATCGGCAATAGCCCTGCAAAGAAGAGCTTGCTCCCAAATCCTTCCTGGGCCCAGGCACAATTCATTCCAAGATGTTGTTAGACACCTCAGGAGCCAGGCTGTGCCTCATGTGGTCATGAACTCTCCTGGGCTGGCTGGCAAAGAAAATGTCCCTGAGCATGATGGGGAGCAGGAATGGCTTGATGAACCTCTGAAGATGTAATAAAAAGAGCACAAAATGAGTTTGGAAAGGACATGAAGATAATTCTCAGTTTGAAGGAGTTTGCCCTTGAGACCCATGGAGAGCACATCAGCTGGCTCCAGCTCACATGTTTTCTCCAGCACTCCAGAAAAAAAGAGGCAAAGTACAGTATGTACTTGTCTGCTGAGACATTTAGATTGGCTACTGACACTCTGCAAATGTTTATAAAGAAAACAAAATATGGATGATAGCCATTTTCATTAAACTGTGCAGATTCAGTTCACCCCGAATTACAAGGTCCCTGAGCCATATTCTTACCCTTTTAGAGACATCTACTTCTCAACAGCACTGAGGCTGTGTGGTTCTTGCTGCTGTTTTCTTTCTTGGTGGGTCTGGTACACACAACTACAGGGGAAGACATTGCCAGGGCCAGCTATCTGTTCCATATCTGCAGGGTGAAGGTGAATATCCCTTGGCCCTTCCACCTCAGGTTGATTTTAATGAAGTCAAAGTCAAGAAGAGGAAAAACAGAATGAAAACTTCAAGCCTTACCTGCCCAAGGCAGAGTTCCCTCTTGTGTACCGTGTAAAATTGTCAAAAAAGCTTGGTGGCTGGTTCCTTGAGTGCAGAGAGCTTCCCTTGGGCCAGGCAGCACATCCTCTCTCGGAAGCAGGAGCATGGATTTTTTACAATGTTCTGGGGATGTTTCTGCCACTTGCTGCACCTCAGCATGCAGATTCATTTATGCCTGTAAAATATGAGAATTCCATACTGAGTTATATATACCATGACCACGACAGAGCCTTCAGAAACATGGGGACTGCAGTTCTGGAACCACTGCTCTCTGTAACCATTCCCCTGCCTCCAGCATGGGTAACTCTGCCAGCCTTCGGGTGAAGGAACTGACAACACTGATGAGAGCAGAGACATAATTTCATGTGCAGCCAGGTCATTCTATTTACTGAAATAACCTATCCCTAGGGACTAATTTGGCTCATTGTGGGTATGTGCTGTCTATCTCCCCACTTGGCTCTTGCTGAGCTTGTGAACAGACAGTCTGCAAACCATGGCCTGACACATGCTGGCACCTGGGTCAAAATGTCCTGATGAACTGTGGGACAGAAGGAAATATCCCAGGGTGTCTTTGCCCGTCAACAATGTCCTCTAGCAGGGCAGAAATCAGGCTGGGCCATGGCATAAGCTCATTTCTTCTTTCTTGCGCCAGTTACACCACGGTCCAAACCATCCATCAAGGTATCAAGCACTCCCAAACCTGCCTGTGTGGTAGGATTTTGTATCTATTGTGTGCAGATTGCACACTGTCCCCTCTCCTCACTGGGACATCTGCTGGCTAAACCCGTTTTCCTTCTGCCTTCTTGTAATTTCCTTATCTTGATGCCTGTTTATGTGATGTGTGTGTATGTTTTACAAGCAAGAACCCTCATTTGAAGCCGAACACGGCATTGCCCTTGTCTCATGGTGTCCCAAGCTGCCACATATCCCATCCTCTCTGCAGAACCCTGGACAAAAAAAGTTTGCTTCCCTTTTGGCTCTGTGGTGCTTTTGGATGTCAGAATAAGTGTCAGCCCTCTTCAGAGACCAGAGCAACTGCTGTGAATTTAGAACAAATATTTTTCATCTTAAATGCCACGGCAGGTCAGCTAAACAGAAAAGAATAGTTGGTCACAGGCTTGAAACGACAGCGGGGTGGAGTGTTTACAGCTCCATCAACAGCTCGGTGTTAATGAACTGAGTCTGAAAATTACCTCTATTGATGGAAGCATGGATGAAGCACAGAGATGAGAAAGATAGTGATTGCCTCCAGCTGCAGGCAGAACTTGGAGAGTGTTTATTTATCACTCGGAATTGAATGATTTTTTTGGAGAGGGCAGTAAAATTCTGCAATGCGCAGTCATGCAGCTGCCTGCAGCCTGGCACTGGTGTCAGCCCTGCAGCTCCAGCTCTGGGGCTGCAGGATTTCATCCTGTCCCAGGGAGCATCTGTCTGGGCATGAGAAGGAAAAGCCTCAGCTGTAGTCAGCCCTTTGCTCCTTGTGTATGTGTGTGCATGTGTAACAAGGTGTGGTTTTCAACTGAAAGTGCCAGGCAGGAAAAATGTGGCTTTGTACTGACTGACTGTAAAAGGACTGCAAATATGTCAAAGGAATAATGTCTCCTAATGTATTGCAACTGCTGTAGCTAATGGGAATGTTATCAGGGAAGGTGTTATTTTGACCCCAATTTCTCCCTTTCCTTTGCTTTCTGTAGGCACCATTGGTAGTGCTGTGGCTGAGCAAAATGGGCAAGGAAAGGTGTCAGCAGGGGATCCTCTGTTTGAACTTCCAGTGCACCAGCAATCCAGATGGGAAGGTTTTCCAGGATAGTCTCTTTTTTGTCAATTCAAATTTTGGGGAATTTCCCCAGTACAGTTTCTTCTGTTTGACAGAGCCATTGTTTTTGAGAGACTTTTCATACAGCATCTCTCTACAGAGGAGCTTTAATATGTTGAGTTGTGCTGTGGGCAAGAGCTGATGTGTTCAAGGTGTGTGGAATGGAGCAGTCCAAGCACATCTGCACTCACGACTGCCCTTTGAGTCCCTGCTTATGATTTCTGAGGATAATTTTCTGTGGCATTTCCATAGGTCAAGAGAGGGGACACCCCAAGAAATTCCACTCACCACCTATTAGTAAAGCTAATTTAAAATTTCTTTCATAAATTTGGGCTAGTAAGTGGATTATTTTGTTGGTATTTTGTGTTTGAGGAAGAGGGCTACATCAACCAGCAATGGTTTTTATTCTCTGAAGGAAAAGCATTCATTTTAAACAGTACTTTCCACTTATACAGACTCACAGAATAGTTTAGGTTGGAAAAGACCTTTTAGATCATCAAGTCTAGCCATTCACCTAGCACTGCCAAGTCTGGTTAAACCTCCTACAATTAGCCTTGGCCAATTGATCCAGCCTGTCCACATCCCCCTGCAGACCCTTCCTGCCCTCCAGCAGGTCAATACCCCCCACCCAACATGGTGTCATCTGCAAACTGACTGAGAGTGCCCTCAATCCCCTCATCCACATCATCAATAAAGGTATTAAACAGGCCTGACTCTGACCCTTCCTTTAAAGGGGTGCCACATTTGCTCACTTTCAGCCAGCTGGGACCTCCCCAGTTAGGCAGCACTGCCGGTAGAAGATGGAAAATTCAAAGTATATATTTAAATACAAACAACAGAAATAGTTCTAAATGCTTGAAACACGCTTTTAAACAATTTAGTAACGCAGAGTAAGTACACCCTGTTGAAGGCAGGCTACAGAAATGTTAACATCCTCTCAAGGTAAATCAAGTAATGGACTGTTGGCCTATTTTTCAAACCGTGTCTCCTCAGTATCTTGACATTTGATAGGATTATCTATTACTGTTGGATTTTGGTTGACTCTCTGGTATGCCTGAGAAGATTGTCATCTTGTGATTTAAAGATAATAGAGCCAAGCATGTGAAACTGCACACAGAGAATAAACCTTTGACTCAGAACTGAATATTTTGTTTAAAAAAAAAAAAAAGAAAGACGACAACTTTGTCTTGAGCTCAGTTTGATACACTGGCAGTTAATGAAATTATCCAGCAATAACTTTCCATTCTAAATATTGCTGTGCTATTTTTAAAAGGCTCCTATGGCACTCCACGCAGGGCGGCCCGAGCTAACAATACCAGATATGTGAAGAGGGTGAGTGTGATTAAAGACTTGTGACAATAGCTAATGTAAGCTTTAACTAAAAATGTCAACTCCATTTGTTTTCAGCTTTAAAGAGTTTCTGGATCAGAATGTGCAGGTAGGAGTTCTAACAATTTCAAGATTACACTTGACCTAGTAGAAAAGATGATCATGTAAAAAGTGACATGCACTGGGACTCTGTGTGTGCACATGTGGATCCGTGTGCCTGTGTATAAATATGTCAACACTGGCAAAGAGCCTCACAGTTTTTCAAAATATGCAACATCTATTTTTATTATAAAGCTTCACAATTGGCAATTTAAAATAAAATGTAATGAGCTAGAGTGGGCTTTTTATTACGCATGGCTTTATTTCTTTGAATTTCAAAATTACCTAGCATGCATTTTCAACTTTGGAACAATTTGCAGGCTGTTTTCATTTCTATTTAAAAGGGCTAAACACTGAGAATGTGCCTCTGCTTTGCATTCTAATTGCATGTAACTGATTTGCACAGCAGAACAAAAACCTAATTTTCAGATTAAGAATCATGCGCTAAGAAATAATTATTGTTTTACGAGAAAAAAAAGGTTTTCCACATTTTTCCCCCTTGCCCAATTTATGAGAACTGTTTGCCAGTTTGCAGGTTGCCAGCCTTCCCAGAACACCAACTATTACTCTTTAGGGACTGCAAAGAGGTAGACAGAGACACGAGGCATGCAACTGTTTTGACTGCATTCTTTTGCTTGCAACATAACACTTGCTTTTTATTATTTTATCTTCAACAATCAAGGGGTGACTAAATGGTTGCAGGTGGTGATGAAAATAAAAGCCATCCATCATTATTTATTAGGCATGAAAAAGATACACAATAATGTAATTTAATCCCGGAGCAGACAATTATTTCCACATATTGATAATACAATGTGAAAACTGTCATGAATCCTAATGTGATGTTCGCCTTTATTGGTGAACCACTACTAGCAATGCAAATAATGAAATTGTATCAAAAAGAAAAAAAAAGTAATTATTTGCATATACCAATAGTGTTGTAGAGAAAAACACATCATTACTAACTTCAGAAAATATAATCGTGGTTCATGTGTTACTTTGGTTTTGAAGTTGGCAAATGCAGGTGCAAAATGTTCCTCTAAGTAAATATTTTATTGATTTCTGCATCATCAAAATAATTTCACAGGTTTTGATAAGGGAACTTTAAAGCCATGAACATGCAGCTGTATAATCAGCACCTCTTTACAGAGACCTGCAGATTTCCCTGCTAATCTATTCACATATTTGTGCACGACACTTCCTCCATTAAAAATAATTTAAGAAATATCTTTGCTCCATCTGGGCCTGATTCAAAGCCCATTGAAGTCATCAGAAAGACTTGCATTGATTTTGGTGGGCGTCAGACAGAAACCCTTTGTGGCTGTTTTCTATAAATAAAGTTGGGCTCCAGTTTGGGCAGAGCAGCTCTCACAAATATATTCAGACTGATGACATTCACCCCTGGGCAGATGTGAGCATGTGCCACTTAATGCCCACTTATGTCTCATTTGGAGCAGGGGTAAAAGGCCCTTTTGGCTGGACGAAAATATACATATTTTTATAAATAGGCAGCTATACATGCAAAGTATATCTGCAACTGCACAGCTAATTTACATTTGAATTACCATGTCTGGGCATGCAAATCAGGTAATTACTTGCTCACATATAACCGGCCATTTGCATGCACAAATACCTATTATATGCATTCAAGTCACAGTAATGTGTCTGCAGCATTTAGCTGTATCTCAAGAAAAACTGCAGCAAGGAAGAGGTTTACATTATCTCTTATGGACCTGGTGTCTTCTAGAGTGATATAAGTGATATTTGAAATCATTAGGGGATCTGTAAACTTCCTACATGTGCTTTCCCTTAAACTGAAATTTCTTAGGCTCAAGTCTGTAAGAGGCTGGACCACTTGTGGCAACAAAACCATTAAAAAT